GGATATTAACCTTTTGGGAAAATGTCAGCAAAGTTGTGAAAAGGAAATATTTTATCTCTGGAATTCTATGCCATGCCAAGCAATGATGAGGTCAAGAGGAAGACATTCCTGTATTTGCCTTTAGTATTTCAGAAATGCAGTGTTTAGAAAGATCTATTTTACATTGCTGTTTCTGTAAGTTTTTAACTTGGAAATTTTATTTATACCTCTGTAAAATTCTACCTGTCATTAGATGATTCCTTTTACTTTAGTTTTAAAAATAGAGCACCTTTATAGCTGGGCACAGTGGCTCATGCCTCTAATCCTAGCACTGTGGGATATTGAGGTAAAAAGCTTGCAGGTTTAAGCAGAGTATCAGACCCTTACTTAACTTAACAACTTAGTGAGACCCCGTCTCAACATAAAAAAAGGACTGGGGATGTAGTTCAGTGTGAAAGTCCTGTGTTTAATTCCCAGTACTGCAAAAATAAAGGAAGAAAGGAAAGAGGAGGAGGAGGAAGAAGAGAAAGGGAAAAAGGAAAGGAAGGAAGGAAAGAAAGAAGGAAGGAAGGAGGGAAGGAGGAAGGGAGGGAGGGAAACACCCTTTTGAATTTTATTAAGAAGATAAAATCATTTCTTAATATGTCTGTTTCTCTCATTCTGTTTTAATGGAGAGTGATCTTATTCCTCTGTGTGGCTCATTTCCTTTAAATTGCAGCTTTAATTTTACCCATGTTCTCTCTCTTTGTTTGTTTGTTTTTTTTTTTTAACTTATTTTTCCTTCTCTAAACAGAAGGGCTTACAATTTTCCAGAATAAGTTCCTGTCTCAAGAGGAGTAAAGGGATATTCTTGCAAATCACTGTTTTTTGCCTAATCCTTCTGCAGAAAGGGACTTTCAGATTCCAGTAAGCTCTAAGACTCCTGAAGATGTGGTGCGCTGTGACACGTCATCAAGTCTTCAGACACTGGTGGATGTCCTAGTCTCTTCACACCAGATTCAAGCCACACAGGCCAAGGTGAGCGACTACACTAAGATGTGGAACAGTCAGACAGAAGGAGAGATGAGAGGAGAGATAGGAGAGTCAGGCGTCTGGAGAACTCCTGGGCTTACCAGCACCCAGCTATGGTACACTGAATATGTGCATTAGCTTTCTTGGTGCTGAGGCAAAGTATTCAACATCAACTACTTAAAGGAGGAGATGTTTAATTTGGCTTACAGTTTCAGAGGCTTCAGTCCATGGATGGCTGACTCCAAGGAAGAAACATCATGGTGGAAGAGTGTGGTGGAGCAAAGCTGCTCATTTCATGGCAGCCAGGAAGCAGAGCACAGGGGAAGAGTGTTGACAAGAGATCCACCCTTCAAAGCACACCCCAGTTGCCCACCTCCAATTAAGCCCAAGCCCCTAACAGTAGGTACACTGAACTACGCATGTCAGTCCAGTTGGTTTAAGCTTGACTGCCACAATATGATCTCAGTGTCAAGGAAAGACCAAGATCTAAGGCTTGAGAACTGGAAGTCAGGCTGAGCACAGAGGCCAGGAGAAGTACTTTAGATGGATTTATTACTTCTACTTGTAAGTCAAGGCGAGAATGAGCTTTATTTTACCCTCCCATATTATCTTTGCTTAAAACTCTGTCTAGTCAATTTCATTTGAAAATAATTAGCAACATCTGGTGTTCTACAGCGGCTTGCTTCCCCATGATGTAGACTCTCCTCACTCGGGTGAACATCAGTGGCAGCCCCCTCCTTTCCGAGGAGGATTTCAATAAGAAGCGATCACAGCTGAATTGGGTGCTATTTCTCATTCCGCAGAGTGATCTGTTCTCTTCGTCTATGGCTGTCGTAATACAGTTGTAGCTTCCTTTGTCATTTTAGGTGCCTTTGATCATAATAATCACATCAGTAACTCTGCAAATATGTTAGTTTTAAGAACATACCAAGCAGGTAATCAGTTTTCCTATTCATTAGGTCAATTTTTGTTTCGTTATTTTAAAATTCTTGACAAACACCTAGAAGTCAGTGTCCTGAGCTTAGGCAGGAGATACTAAAAAACATTCCTCAGAGTTGTCTGGAAAAGAACATCTAAAACCAATACAAAAATACATATAGAAAATCCAACTGAAGAATTGAAGCAAGAGTCAGCACTGAGAGAAGAAGTAATAAGGGGTGCCAGAATGAGGTAATTTGGGATGCCTGGTAGGAACCACATGTAGAAGGAACTGCTGAAGCCCAGCGGTGTAGCTCCAACTCCTAGTTGCAGAATTTTCAGGGCCCTAAGAATGAGAAGGGCAGAAATAGTAAGAGTAGCAGTCTCACTCAGCCATTCCTCTTTCTTCATGATTTCTTCTCTTCACCTTTCCAAAATTTTACGGTATGGAAACCAGTGTAAAGTACAAAACATTACACACACACACACACACACACACACACACACACATGCAGATACACACAGAAGAGCACTGAATTAGCAGATATTACTGTTACTTGATATGAACAAATAAACTAACAACTTTAATTAAGCAAGGAGTTTGGTTCAATTTGTCAATAACAAAAATAAAAAGGACATTATAACTACTCTTTCTGGAAAAGATATGTTTGTCTGTTTTAATCTTTCTGTTGTGATTATATTTTAAGAATTATTTGTAGGAATTGTATGTGAACACTTTACCACCATGGTGAAAAATACCACTGCTCTTTGTGAGTCAGAAATGCCTTTATCAATTCCTGTAGTTTCTTAGCCATTATTTCTTTGGACATCATCTGATGGTGATGGGAATCATGAGTGGTCTAGAGTTTGCATTTATTTCTGCAGTGTGCACCATGGTATTCTAAATCTGGACTAATTTTATATTTAATCTCTTAGCTTGAAGTGAATGTGTCTAGACTACACATACAGCACAAATCTCAAGCAGTAAATGCCAGTGCCTGGTTGTTAATGCTCAGGGCATCCTTATTTCCACCAGAATCAAGTTTGAAAAAGATATATTTTCCTAGGTAGATTACTCCCTTCCACACTTTAAGGAAACAGCAGTGTCAGGCAGTGGTTGCAGTTTTGGATCAAACAGCAAACAGCTGTTGTTCTGAATTCTCTGCATTCACAGTATTAAAATTCCCTACATCCAACAGCGGAAATGGGTTATGAAACAGGTCTTGGGGTCAGCAAAGAAAATAAGACTCATGAAAACTTTTCCTTGTTATACCATCAACTAGTTGATTATATTGTTTTTTAGTACCTTGGATCATTTTCTGCATGGTTTTGCTTCATATTTTAATTCTGATTTTTTTTCTGCTCTTACTCTGAAGGATAACTCTTTTCTTGATTGCAATTTGATTTTATCAATTTAGAAAAGCACACTACTTACTTCAATATGGTCCTCAGAACCGCACAAAAGTACAGACTTTTAGTTCTGTCACTCCTGCCTGATTCACCAGTAGAATCAGAGAAGTGAATCAATCCAAGCTATGTGGGGTGAATGTCTTAGTCCATTCCTGTGGCTATAATATTTTGATTAGGTAATTTAAAAATAATAGGAATTTGTTTCTCACAGGTCTGAACTCAAGGAAGATTTGATATCTGATAAGGCAGATTTGCTGTGTTTAAAGAGCAGATCAAAATTATGTCTTTCCATGGTAGATGAAGAAAAGGGTAAAAGTAATTGGGGTACCACTTTTTTATAACAGCATCAATGTATTCATGAAGGCGGCATCCTTATGACTTAATCATTTTCCAAAACGCCCTACTTCTTAATACTGTCATCTGGAGGATTGAGTTCCAACATGAACTTGGAGGGCCGTCTATGTTTAAATCATATCGAAGGAGCTCCATTCTTAGAAGAAAAATTTAAGAGCAGGCTTTCAGAACCTTTAGTAAATAAAAATTTAGACCTTTAAAGTATTTGGTTTTGCAGATGGAACCACTGGCGAGGAGACACAGGGAAGGTAAAAGGAGTTGAAATTGGAACTAGATTGCTTTTGAGAATATCAGATTCTTCCATGAAAGATATTTAAGCAAAGTATAAGGCCATTGATCTTCTTGGTGTTCCCATTTATTAGACTTGAGGAGACTGTCAATCCCAGGCTGCAATAAAATTGAGTTTGATCAGATGATCCAAATAAGTGTACAGACAAAATAATTGAAAGCAGGGAATTAAATAAATATTTGTTCACCCATTTTCACATTATTTATGCTTGATAAAATATGGGAGAAACCCAAGTGTCCACCACCGGATGAATATATAAACTATATTTTGTATACACAGATCATGAAATGTCATCCAGCTTTAATAAGATGGAAATTCTAACATGTTGTACAATACAGAAGAACTTTGAGGGCACTGGAGTAAGGGAGGTAAGTCAGTCACAAAATGACCAACACAGCATGATTCCACTTACATGAAATACCTACAGAAGTCAAATTCATAGGGATGGAAAGTAGAATGGTACTGTCCAGTGCTGGAGGGTGGGGAAAATGGAATAATGCGTACAGAATTTCCATTTGAGAAGGCAAAAAAATTATGGAAATGGATGGGATGATGACTGTTATTGGACTTAATATCCCTAAACTATACCTATAAAAATAGTTGACATGGTGAGTTTAATGTTATGTGTATTTTTGAATGATTTAAAAAGAGAGAAAAAAGTAAATTGGGAACGAGTGGGTATGTGGAGGAGTGAATGGCAGAGATGCTAACATACTTCTGTTTCCTATTAGAAAAGACCATACCTGAGTGTATAGAATGAGACAATTTATTGAATCTACTTGTGAAGGGTAGAAGACTTCAGAGTTGGGGAAAGTAAGCATTGCTCAATGTCTTGTAAATACCTAGTCTTAAGACTAACAATAGGTGAATGGGCTCTACAAGTAATCAAATTTGTTTATTGACTGAATTGTTTGATATTTTCAAATGTCTGTTACATGCAGTATTAATCAGAGAAATAGGACCAATAAGCTATATGCAGATATAGCTATATAAGAAGATATTTAGAGGAATTGACTTACATGATTTGGAGGCCAACAGGTCCCACAATATGCTGCCTGTAAGCTGGAGAACCAGGAAGCCCTACAGTGGAAAGGGCCAAGAATTCAGCCTGAGACCAAAGGCATGGAGAAAAGGGGCACTGAATTTGTAAACCCCACCCTCAAATGATTAAATGATGCCTGCCCACATTGGGAGGGCAATTTTCTTGACTCAGTCTATTAACTCAAACGCTAGTCTCTTCTGGAAATATCTTCAAAGACAAATTCAAAAGTAACGTTTTACCAGCTATTTGGGTATCACTTAATCTAGCCAAACTGACACTTAAATTTAGCCATCACACATACATAACACATACACACATACAGAAATTACATGTGTGCTGCTCCTAGCATGTATATTAGTCCATTTTTCGTTACTATAAGAAAACACTTGAGGTAGGCTAACATTATAAAGAGATTTATTTCACTCAAATAAATCTGGTATTTCTAATCTATGATCCAGTGGACCCCCATTATCTTAGTGAGTATCTAACATCAGGTGGCTGTGGGAGGAAAAGATTGTATTCTAAATAAGAAGCCAAAGCAAAGGTGTACAGGCTTACTTATAACAGATTTTTTGCAGAAACTAATTCATGGTCCCACAAGAAACAATCTTAATCCCTTTCAGGAGCAGTACCCCCAGTGACCTGAGGACTTCCTCAGTGCCCTTTTTTCACAAAAATCTCCCTGCCTCTCCCATTACCACACTGAGGAACATGTCTTTAACATATGAACCCATAGGAGACAAGTCACAGCCAAATCATAGCAGCTTGTGTAACCCAATAATCAACTTAGAGCTGGAATTTGTGCTCAGAAGGCCACTGGCTCATTTAGCCTGGTCCTTGGGGATTCCCTCCTGAAGGCACTCAGGTAGGCCATGTGGAGTGTAGGGGTCAGTCAATTTAAATGCAGCACTAACAGCAGCCAAATGAGTTCAGCTCACAGGGCTTTGGCTTCAGAATTCTCTTCCACCTCATGTCTAGTGGTCTCCTGAAGGACATGTACCAACCTATGATTTGGGTGTCAGAATTTAGCCAATTTAGCCCTTCAGCTTTGGCTCCAGTCTCATAATTTGGAAAGCCAAATAGCTCAATGCCTTACGGCAGTGTGTGATCAATGAACATGATACGGCATGAGTTGCCCTCATATCTTAAAAATGTATCAACATCAAAAATTGAAATAGGATCCTGTCATTTGGACATGTTGTTATTGTCATAATATACACTTCAAAATATGGGTTAGAATGTTAGATGCAGGTTTAAAGGCAGCTTAAAATCTCCCTGTATGCATTAGTTTCTGACATTCTGTCAGTTGAAATATAAATATGTGTTCAGGAATTTTAGAGTAAAATGCTATGATAATTAGTGTTGATTGTGAACCCTTCATTTTCTATGTAAAAATAATTGAAGATTTCTCAAATAATACAAAGAGAACTTTCTGGTTGGTGGGATTGCCTTGGTGAAATTTGTTACCACCACTGACTAAATTGTCAAGCCCAGAAGTTAAAGAGGAACTAAGCCTTTATTTCAGTCATCACTGTAAGAAAATACAGCAAGTTTAACATCTTGTCCGCCATGTGGGTTGACCAGTTATCTACACTGGCACCGATCAAAAAGACCTTGTTCCTCCACTTGCTTCAGTTGAGCATAAACATCTGTTCACATCCCAACGTGCTGCTTAGAGACCACATGTCCAATCACGGAAGCTGAGCAGGCTGCTAGCTCAATGTTCTCCCACCAGTTCCAACTTTTAAATCTTGATCCCTGAAATGTGTAACTTGTACAATTTTTATAGCATTTCAGGTTTTGCTATATCTAAATATTTACTCTATACTAGATTGACTAATTATCCTCATTTGCTTGGGACTGACAGGATTCCCAGGCATTGGATTTGGATGCTAAACTCAGCAAAGTCCTAGGCAAATGAGAATAAGTTAGTCATCCTAGTGATGGTGTCCTATTTAGCTTCAATATTGGATTGAACTTATTATTTGTTTTAGCATTTTTCTGAAAATCTATAGAAGGGAATGTTTGCCACTAAGATTTTCCAGTGTGGAGTAAAATTATCTCTGGTATAATATTAAACTCTTTTCCAGCACAGCTGGCTAGGGACACAAAACCAAAGAAAGTAGGGGGCTGTGCAGTGACCTATCAGACTTGGTATGGAATACCCAAACTCACAATACATTAGGGATTACCCAAAATCAAAGTCCAGGGATAAGCTCTGGTATCCATTTATGGTATCCCCTAATTTCAACTCTTCTTACAATTCTTAATGTTAGCTTAGTATAGAACCAGGAATACACTTAAATTTTTACCTCTGCTCCTGCCTACTACTCCAGTTTTCACTTGCTAAGTCCTATTCCTTAGCAACATCCTCTAAATAAATGACTTTGTTAGTTGAAGACAGGCATTGCTTTGGAGTTTTTAAAAATATAATCCAGATTAAGAAGCCAAATTCCTTACTCTGATTTCTCAGTGTGGAGGAACATGGTGAATCAGATATCAATAGCTGTGTTACTATGCTTGAAATTACTACTTATTTATATGAAAGATTATTTGGTTGAGGTTAACCTTCAGTTTATAGAAACAAATGCAGATTAAATGTCCAATAAAATGACTAGTCTGTATGTAGGGGATTGAAAAAGATTTATCTTTATAAAAAGAGAAATATGGTGATGGTGATGGTGATTAATAGCTACCACTTACCATGACAGTGTTCTTAGTGCTTTACATATATTAATACACTTAATCCTCATGGCAACTTTGTCAGAAAGGTACTGCTAGAAAGAAATTAATACTGTTATAAGTCAGAAAACTAAGACCACAATAATACAACAAGGACCTGGTAGTGGAGTTATAAATTGATACAAGTATACAAGCTCTACTACACACCTATTTTTGACAATGGATAGATTTTTTAATATTTCACTAGCACAATTTTCTAACTGTAATCTTACTCAGTGTTATTTACTAATTATGTACTAATTTTTCTCACCCACTGGATTAGTCCACTTTGTATTACTATTCTCAGATACCTGAGATAACTAACTTATAAGAGAAAAGTTTTGTTTAGCACGCTGCTAGAAGTTCCAACTCAAGATCAGGTGGACTGAATGGCAATGTTGGCGAGTGAATACACTGCTCCCCTCATGGTCAGGAATCAAAGAGAATAAGGAAATGACTGGAATCCCACAATCTTTACTGAGGGAGCATCCACAATGAACTATATAAATACTTCTCGTATGGCCCTACTTCTTGAAGGTTCACCATCCTGCAGTACCTCCCAGACCAGGAACGAATTCTTTTCATATGGACGTTTGGGGGACACTGTCATTCCAAACAAAAATTAAGCATGATCATGCCATAACATTGAAAAGTTGTACTAGATTTGAATCAATATCAATATTCTCTTGAAGGTGAAGAAACATCCAGCTGCTCTTACACAGAGGGGTGAAATCAGGTAGGTGGACCAGAAGAGGAGGCATGAGGCTATTTGTTCAATAACAGTTTTATCTAAAGAATGAAACAAAAACTGATAACATTTTATAACAACTGTGCATACATATTGTCAAAGTGAGTACAAATTTTGCCATCTAGATTTTAGGCCAGAACCTATCCTCAACCATCCACTCATCATTCTAGACCAAAAGATACTTAATAGAAAAGACACGTCTCTTTGATCCCCTGTTTTTTTAAGTTTATTATTCTAAACCACTGTTTCACTGCTTATCTTACACAGTCTCCACTACTTAAAATAGGAGGCTGTTTTCAAGAATGATCTGGACAATAAGTAACCATCAAGATGACTTACCATTATGAATATTAATCATAATCTCCAGACCTCTTCCATTTCACAAAACTCAAAGCTTAAGTCAAAGAGGTATGAGTCAAAGAGCTGTATGAGAACTTGTTTAACATATACAAAGCACTCGCATAGACCCATTCAAGCCTCAGAGTAATGCAAGGAGTTAGGAGTTACCTGTTTCAGTGCATAAGTAAAGGAAGAAATAGAAGTGCAAAGGATCTGTTTCAGAATCATACAGTGTGCTCTGCACACAGTACCTATAATTAGATATGCACCATAAGAAAAAGAGAAGATTCCTTCGGATTTAGGACTTTAGTGAAGAGGATCAAAAGAAATAACCAAAACTCTAGCATAAAGCTTATCTCAAAAATGACAACACACAAGGAAAAGTATTCATTACTATTGCTAATATCTCTTGATCCTCCAAAAGAACATGAAGAAAAATTTTTGGCCCTTGGAAATCTCTATCAGGTCAGGCATGCTTTTGTTCTCACTCAAGTAGGTACATAGATATCATATGTATGTATTTATCTCTATTTATTTACATTCATAAAGATTTGATCTAATACTAAGGTACTGGAGACACATGCATGCAGAATTATATATATAAATAAATGATGCTCACTTTCAGGTCTACTGAAAATTGAGATTACCTTGTGCGTGAAGTGTTCTTTGCACAAATATTAATGCTAACGGCATTGATTGGATGACAGCCATGCACTGTCAAGAGTTATAGTCATATTATTTATTATTTATTAAAGAAAAAAATCCATTTGCTAAAAATGTAGGGGAAAAGCTATCTATTTTTCAATATGCCCAGATAATGATTACTGGAGAGCCTTATTGTGTTGATTGCCTTCCTGTACATAAAAATGCACATTAAAATTGAAAATCCAGGAACAAAGATTTGTTGTCATGTCTATATTTGGAGAGTGATGGTCTATAATTTGGTTGCAAAAGGAAGACAGATGTGGAAACAACCTCACTAATGGAAATGGAAATTCCCCAAACTGACTTATTTTTTTCCCGTTATTGTGTTACAGGTGGAGCAGCTTGTTAGTGCTGCTGGGGTTGGGGCTCTGGGTGCATACATATTTGTAGATTCATCCTTAAGTCAAAGAGGTACTTTAACTCTAATTGGAAATCACCGGGAACCAAACAAAGGTTAAAAAAAACCCAACAGCATTCAGCATGTTTCATTTTGTTTGTATGTGCTTACCATTTTTATTTGCTTGTGTTTAGACTTGGTCAACTTTCTCTTATTGTCTCTGTACCTGAACCAAATTTTTTACCTGAGTAAAATACCAAGTTACAGTGAAGAAAATACTAAGGCACAACATGACATCATTTCATATATTTTATAGAGAGATTTAAATAATATAAATGTATGGAATTGGCTCTCATTATTGGAGGCCAAGTCTCCAAATCTGCTATTGGCCAACTAGAGACCCAGGAAGGCTGATGATGTAAGTTCCAATCCACAAGCTGGTGGGTTTGAGACCCAAACAGAGCCAAAGTTTCAATTAAAGACCAAAGACAGAAAAACACCAACAAACCAGCTCAGCTCTGCCAAGCAGGCAGGCAGAAGGAGGGTTCTCTTATTGCAAAGGGTCAACATTTTTGTTCTGTTCAGGAATACATCTGATTGGATGGGGCTGCCCACATTAGGGAGGCCAGTTTACTTTACTCAGTCTACCAATTCAAATGTTAATCTCATCCAGAAACACAAAAATACCCTCCCAGGTACACCCAGAATAATGTTTGATCTGGCACCCTGGGTGCTCAGTCAAGTTGACATGTAAAGTCAGCTCTCACAGACGTGATTTCATGACTCCTTCCATACTTACAAGAAATCATTTCATTGACAATTCTTCAATTTAAGCTGATAACTTTCAACATAGCCTTCCCAAATACTGTATGTGTGTGTGGGGGTGTCTATATCTGTGTATTATGGTTTATATCTGGACATCCCCCTAAAAGCCTCATGTGGTCATGGGGGAGTGGGTGTTCTGGAGGTGGCTGAATCTAGAGTTTGTGATTGGTTCACTGTCTAGTGCTTGGATTGGGGGTGTGAGTGCTGCACCCTCCCTGGAGCAGGTAACCTGCATGCAGTATAAGGGAGGGAAAGAGGCTTGATCCTCCTTTTGCTCTTGTTTTGGGTATCATCTGTCACCATGAATGGCTGCCCCTCTTCCATGCCACACTTCCTTGGAGTCAAGTGATTATGGACTGAAACCTCTACAAACTATGAGCTAAATAAACCTTCCTCCCTTAATTTGGGTCAGTGGGTATTTTATCTCAGCAATGAGAGAAAAGTAATTAACACAGAATTTGGCACCAGGAGTGGGGTCCTTGCTGACTATCCCCAACCATGTGGTTCAGGAACCTTTGGAAATGGCTTGTGGAAAGAGAATGGAAAGCTCACAGATGCTTGCTGAAAAAGTAAAGCTGAAATGCCTTAGGCTGCTCTGTATGGGAGATTCCGGTCAGAGTTCAGAAGACCAGTAGGCTGATAGAAATCCTGCAGGTAAAGACCAGGCTGGGAAGGTGGGGAGTTCTATTGGGAAGAAGGAATGTATTGCTGTTGGACTCCAGACAATGTTTGTTATGACTTGGCAGAAAGTTTGTCTGCATTTTGCTTTGTGTCCAGAGACTTTGCCTGAGACTGAGATTAAGACAGCAAGCTAATTAATCTGGCAGAAGAAATTTCAAGGCAATTGAATGTTGAGGTGGTGGCATGGCTACTGTTGGGGGTTTTTAGCCAGATCAGTGATAAAAAGCAAGAGCAAATCACCCAGCAGAATAATTTAAAACATTGTGAGCTTGGCCAGGAAGTAAGCTCCAGTAAAGCAGTGGACTGCAAAAATAGAGCAGAGGAGATCTTGATTACTGAAAAGAAACAGAAGAATAGAAAAGGTGACCTGAGGCTATCACAAGAAGGAACAGTACCCCACCTTTGGCAACCTCAAAGTGACCAAAGTGAAAGACTTTGCTTTGAGAAGAAAGGCATGGAACATCATTTCCTAGAGTGACAGCAGCTCTACCATGTGCTGGAATGGTGGCAGCCTACATAATTTATTCCTCAGAACTGGATACAGAGTGCTCAGTGATCCAGGCACTCGAATCCTACAGCCAAGAGAGAGGGAAGGCTGGCTACTGCTCCAGCTGGCAGCAGATCTTGGCATTATTAACATGGCATGGCTTTTAGATGCATGCAGAATGCAAGAGTTGTGGGGTTAAAGCTTCCACCCAGGTTTCAGAAGGCTTGGGAGGCCATGCAGTGTGCCCCTGAGAAGACACTGTATGAATCTGTGAAAAAGAAGCCAAAGGTGCAGTGGAAACCTGCAAAGTTTGGAAAAGTGAGGAACATGGATCATCTAAGGATATCTGCAAGGAAGGAACAAAACTAGCCCAAGAGAGAAGCCATGGAAGCTATAACCACCAGAAGTACCATAGATGTGGAGCCACCCAAGTCATTTGGAGCACATAACTTGCCATAGATTACTTTGGATGCTGCACATAGAACTACAGGACTTAATGTTTGCCTTGCTGGATTTTGGATTTGCTTTGATCCTATTCCTTTGTATCCCACCGTTTGTAAGTTTTGGAATGCAAGTGTTTATCCTGTGCCATTAAATGTTGGAAGTGTATAACTTTCTTTTCATTCATACAGGGGCTTACAGCTAAGAGTTTGCCTTACAGCTCCGAGAAGACTTGGGACTTAGACTTTTCGGCACTGTTGAAACTGTTAAAACTTTGGCACCTCTTAGGGATGGACTAAATGCCTGTTGCATAAAGGGATGTACATGAGTCTTTGTAAAATGCTATGGTTTGGATATCCCCACAAAAGCCTCATGCGGTCATGGGGGGTGTCTTTTCAGAGGCAGTTGAATCTAGAGTTTGTGATTCATTCTACCTAGGGCAGGTAGCCTGCATACGTTATAGGGGAGGAAAAGGCTTGCTCATCCCTTTTGCTCTTGTTGCTTTTGGTATCTTTTGCTGAATGGTTGCCCTCTGCCATGCCACACTGCCTTGGATCCAGCTGATTATAGACTGAAACTCTGCACACTGTAATAAACCTTTCTTCTTTTCATTTAGGGTGTCAGGTATTTTATTTCACCAATGGGAGAAAAGTAACTAACACAGGATTTCATTATTCTTTCCATCTTTAGAAAATTCATTTCATTGACAGTTATTCAATTTAAGCTGATATCTAACTTGCAACATGGCCTTCCCATATAATCTGTGTGTGTGTATATGTGTGTGTGTGTGTGTGTGTGTGTGTGTGTGTGTAGGGGCATCAGAGTCTCCAAAGTAGCTTACATAGCAGGTGGGGAGATTGGATACATGCAACTGAAAAATTAATACAAGGTAGTTTCTTCTATGTTAGGTGAGTATCATAGTTTTATTTTAGAGTGCATTTTAATACTCTAACATATGCTAAACGTCTTTATCAGGTTATGAGCTGTAATCATCACTTGAGTCATTTGAAATTTTTTTAAATTCAATAATAGCTTTCTTATTGAATTTATTTATAAATACAATCGAAGGGCTGTTCAAACATTCAAAGACCTTCAGAAAAGAAAAAAATCTCAAGGCTAGTAACTATTAGAAGTTTTCATATAACCTTCTACATTAATGTATACAAATAAAAATATAGATAAAACTGAATTTCACTACATGCTGTTTTCTGACATTCATCTACATTATATCTATATTATATCAAGATACATAAACACTTGCAGCATACTGTGAATAGTTTTCTTATGTTTAATGTTTTTCAACATTCATACTTTAAAAAGTAAAATAACATCATTAGTTTTATAACAAAAACCACAGGTTTCCAAGATACCTCTCCATACACTTACTATTCAGAGGGAACCATTCCTTAAATTTTTAGATATTTCTCATACATATTGCCATTTTTCTCAGTTGTGATCAAATGATCATTTTATATTTCTTGATTTTGTTTTTAGCTATGACATGTTGATTTCTTACAAGATGGAAAATTTATTATCTCCTCCTCTTCCTTCTCCTTCTTCCTCTGCTTTCCTCTCTCTCTCTTTCCCTCTCTCTCTCACTCTTTCTCTCCCCACAAACACAAAATCTTTCTCCATTTTTGTATTTTAATCTCTCTTCAGCTTCTCCATGTAGTTATATGATTCTTTGCTTCAATCAATGTCTTAGCTACCACTCTTAAAAAAAAGCCTAAGGCAAATTTTAATGCTGTTTATCTAATGGTGTTACCCCCTCAAACACAAGAAGATGCAGAAGAATAAAATAAGGTCAGAATTTTTTTTTTTAAAAAATGACACATACTGAAAAGGACTGAGGAGCTGTAGCCTCAGAAAGAACTGGCCAATCACTTGGCTGTATAGGAAGCCTCCAGAACAGGTAACTAGAGTCACTTAACTTCCTTCAGAACTGTCTTGTCTGGAGGAGGAAGAAAAACTAACTTGTCAGCTCCTTCCCATATCTTGTTTTTTGTGAGTCATCAGTTTGCCCCATGGAGCCTTAAGTATTCCATACTTGTAGGTTTTGTTACTTGGTTCTCTAGCCAACCACCGTGGAGTTTGTGTGGATGTGGGCTGTATCTTTGGGGCTCCTCTGGGAGGAATGTGGGGAAGGCATACTGATGTCCAGTCCTCACCCTAGCAGGGGCTGAGACAGGTGGACGGCCTCGTGGCCAATACTTTCTGCTGAGCAAGGCCCAAAGTTCTGAGGTGTGAAGAGCAGATGTGGCTGACCACGTCTGGATCATACAAATTGGTCTGGTATAATCAATGATGATGTCTATATTTTTAAGACTAAGTAAATAATATTAGTAGTGCTGCTGTATATTGTTCTAAGTTACATTTCCTTGTATAATTTAGCATTTTCTTTATTTTCTTACTTTTACTTGTCATTTATTCTATTGCTAATTAATTTGACAGAATTCTAAATCTCTTCTCTGTTAAAACATATTAGGCTTTCTATTAGACTTCTTTTCTTCCTTGGATACACCACTGTGCAGCATGTTTCCTCTTTCTTTAATCTCAACTTGTGGCTTTCTAGAACTGCTCAGATCTGTTCTTTGGAATCTCTCCTCACTGTGATATTGAAATTGTCCATTGCTTTTTATTTATGGTTATCTGGTTCCTAAATCCAATGTCTTCCACTTTCATAGATGTATTCGCATTTTGTTGGAATAATACCTCCAGTAAGCTGTTAGTCAGCTTTCTGTCATTGTGGAAAAATTCCCAAGAATAACATCTTTCAAAAGGAAAGGTTTACTATGGCTCATAGTCTGCTGGCCCCATTACTGTTAGGCCTGACAAGGTAGAAACATCTCAGTAGGAGGATGTAGCAGGGGAAAGTCACTCACATGACGGCAACCAAGAAGCAGAGAGACAGAAAAGGGGCTAGTGACTAGATACACCCTCCGAAGGCACCCTCTTGGTGACAAACTTCCTCCATCTAGGTCATGTGGCTATGAGCTCATGGACAGATAATCTGTTGGCAAGGTTACACCTTTATGATCCAGTCACCTCTAGGCCCCACTTCTGAGCATTGCTGCCTTGTGGATCAACCGCTTCATACATAAGGCTGTGAGGAACACCTCATAATTCAACTGTAACATGTAGCTCATAAGGAAGGTAACATTTTTGAGGCCTTATATTTCAGAAGATATTATTACTCTTCTCCTCACACTCTATGGATAGTTTAGCTTTGCATATTTTATGTTCCCTCAGAATTCTGAAGGCACTGCTCCATTTTTCACCTTTCAGTTTATTACTGAGACAGTCAATACCATTTTGATTCCTGTACTTCAGAGATATTTTCCTTCAGTATAAACATATTTCATATTCACCATGCTAAACACTCAGCAGACTCCATCCGTCTAAGAACTGATGTCATTCACTTCTGGGAAATTTTATTTCATTCTGTCTTTATTAACTTCTCTTCCATTTCATAATTTCCTCTTCTGAAACTCCTGATAGCTGAATAAGAAACCATTACTCTGATCTTCTAAATTTTTTGATATTTCCCTCTATTTTATATTTCTCTCTTTGGTTCCCCTTTCCTGGAGTTCTTAAACTTTGTCTCCCAGTCCTATATTGAACTCCTTATTTCTGCTACCAATTTTAATTACAAAAGACCCTTCTTTTATGCTCTTCATATTCCTCTTTTTTAAGAATTTCTTTTTCCTCTTCCATCTACTTTTCTTCTCTTCAGCCTCTAAATATCACGGTACTTAGGGCATTTTCCTCTTGTGTGGTCTTATTCATATCCATAGTTTTAAATAACATTCTTTATTCCAGCATTTCATTACATACCATATAAAATAGCCCTCCTTGATCCCTGCCACCTTTCCCACCACTCTCCCTTCATCTTCTGTGTTTTCCTCGTTGTCTTTAGCACTATGGAATCTGATTCTAGTATGGTAGCTATAGTGAGATATAATATAGTGTACATATAAGGTCCACAGGGAAATTATCCTTGTCTGTGTTGTTGAATATAACTCTATTACTTACAAGAGTATTTGTTACCATGCTTCATAAAATTTTTAATGAACAAATGTTTGTCAGAACAGGAAGTCAACTTTTTAAATATGTTCTTTTCTTTTTTTAAAAAGAAAAACTTTTCATGTTTCACATGGATTATTTAAAGATAGATAGAGGTGTTTATCTAATGCCTGAATATGCTTGGGAATTCAAATAACAATAAGAATCTAAAATACAAATTGGTAAAGACAAGCATGATAAAAGCTTGTCTGTTACATGCCTGGCAGCATGTAAACTGACCAGGCAGAGATCTAGCCATATGGGAGAGACTTTAAATGTCAGTATCTGTGCTTGTCTTTATTAGACTAGCCCAATAACCCACAAAGCAATTAACTTTTTTTCTACTAGGAGGTATAAGCAGCGGTTCTCTTCAGTAGTCAGCCATGGCAAATTTTAAAATGTTTGCATGCATGCCAGAAGCTTAGACTCCTCACTCCACCATGATCCAGCCCCAGCAAGTATGGCTGCACCCACTAGGATCGCAGCTCTAACCACAGTGAGCATGGTATACTGACTGCTGAGTACTTCCCATATACTATAGAAACCACCTGCCAACTATGTCGGGAGGGAACGGATGTTCACATTCACTGTGCCCCTTTCCCTTAATTCCATTATTTTATGTGTCACCCCATCTCTCTTGCCCCTTGTTATGCCTGAAAGTCTGTATCCCGTAGCCTGTATAGGTCATGCTCTCCAGAACATAAGCCTCTGGTCTCTTGCTAAGGAAGGGTAGGAGTATTCGGAGTTCCAAGTGGTCTTCACAAAAATTTTCAGCCATTCTTTTTCAGCTCCAATTTGTAAGTCTGTTTTCAAAAATTCTTAACATTTTTTTCTGCCTGAAACATCTTAAAATTTTACAATGCAGACAGGCCAGCTTCTATCCTTTTGACACAGCCCTGCTAGTATAAGTTTCAGCTTTTCTGCCTTTCTGAATCAGAAACTTACTCAACTTCAAGATTCCACAAATTTATCCGTAGCTGTCTCTTTTCTAATTCTGTATGTTTTTTAAGTTTGTAAACTTTTTGTCTTTTATTTTTAGTTTCAAGAAAGAGTGCATGTAGGTGTATATGTTTATACCTTAATTATAAATTTACACCTATAAATTTTACCAACTGGGTTTTAACTCAATTGTATGATTGAGTCTTATTCATAAGAAATGCTACATGACCAGTGTCTACACATGATGAACAAGACTTTTTAGCTGAGGGGCTGGGGATTTAGCTCAGCAGCACAGCACCTGCCTGGCAAGTGCAAGGTCGTGAGTTCAATTCCCGGTACCAGAGGGGAAAAAAAAAAAAAAAGACTTTTTAGCTGAAAAAAAAATTTTTATATTCATACACACATATATGAAGGGAGAGAGAGAAACAAAGACAGAGACAGAGACAGATTCATTTTGTCTACCTAATAAACAGATTTTTGTGTCAAAGTGTACATAGTTAGGCACAGAGAATCAAGTTTTCTATTGAAGATGTTTAATCATCAGCTTGATTCTAATGATATTTCATAGAGATGAACAAATAGTGGTATAGTCTAAATGATTCTTTTGGTTATTTGCTTGGAACACTTATATGCTAAGTAGTGACTTCTTCCTGAAATTTATGTTGAAATTTTTATTTGTGTACCATTTACTGCAAGCTGCAATTCAAAACAAAGGCGTATCTATTTAGCAGACATTTGTTATTTAATTGGAATCCCATCAATTTTATCTGTTTGAAATTTTATTTTTTTCTTTTTTAGCAAGCATAGATATTCTGACTGGTTAAACTGCTCTAAAAGAGTCCTTTTGAGCTCAAAACTAAAATAAAGCATATCAAGTTCAGAATTTTCTCCTAGTTTTAAAGGTTTGCTGGTTGCCCAGAAAAATAATCTTTGAATATATTTTAAGAATACTGTGAGAATAATTTTGAACATTAAGGATTGTTGAAAGGCCTGAAAAAGCTAAAGTTATGGTCTTTAAAACACAAGGTTATGTTAGAGGCTGAAAAAGATGACATTATTTGGAAAGTTTGGCTGTAGCATAGACCAAAAAAATGTCATTTTTTTAGCCAATGAAATTTTAACACCTTTATCTCTATTTGGGGGGTAATTTTTGAAGGGAACAGAACTAACCTTCCATCATGTAAGCCAACAAGGTCACATAGCAGTTTTCTAGCCTCCTTTGTATCTAGAGTATACATATACACCCCAGGCTGCCCAATCATACTCTCTTGCATGGGCATTTGAATCAGCTTTTCCAATCTTCCTGGTAACTTTCCAATATGTTTTTAATGAATTACTTCTCTACTGAAATCAGACAGATTCAGTTGATATTGCTTAAAACCCAAAACACTGAGTAATTCTAAAATACTTACTGAGCTGTAACAGAATGCTTTTAAGCCACAGCTACATTCTCACTGGAGGAAAGTTGGAGTTAATCAGAAAGAATTAGAGGGAACGATATGAAGAGTTGAACTTAAAGCACTTTGTCCATGTTGGGCTATGCTCCCCTTCCTCTTGTTTTTCAATGGGAAAGCTATATTTTTTATGATATTGAAATACATTTTGTCTTAAAACAGATTACATTTTTCCTTTGGGGGCATAGCTAGAAGAGCCTTAGTTTATTTGTAAAACTAAACTTGTTGGACTATAGTGAACCAAGACATTTTTTGTTCCAAAGTGGAAAAAACCCACAGATAGATCTAGGATTTTATTCAAGATGTGACGTTAGAGGCCTGAAAGGCACTCACAGATCAAAACAAGACCCCAAGACCCCCACCATTAAATTGGCCATCCATTAAGGTTGCGTTTGAAGGTTTGTCCCTTTTCTTTCATCTCTGCCCTCAACTGCTTTTCATGAATTGTAGACTGCTGTGGTGGAAGGAACAGAATGTACAGGAAAAGCATATGAACAATACTATAAGAGAAATAATAGTCTGCATGCCTATTCCTGAAAGCTTGCTCCTTAGAGTTGTGCTTGGGACATTAAACTACCTCCTTCCCTGATGCTCAGTGACCACTAATATCCTCAATAAAATCTCTGGAGATGATGGAAGTTTGCTAGACACTGGTACTCCAGGGAGTTGACAAACTACTGCTGAATGGAGGTGGTTAAAGCTCGAGATGAAAGGAAAGAAATTTTTGTCAATGGCTCTGAAAGCCCTTAGAGCAATGGAAAAAAATAAACATTCACCATAGTCCACTGTATGTTGTTGACATCAATGAAAAGATTTTGAGTAAAGCTATAGAAATGTGGCTCATGTAATCAACTTTTGTCCAACCTTTATGTGCAGTGAAGGGAAGGTTTCGCAGGCTGGCTAAGTGCATCAGCTTTGGAACCAGGCAGCTTGTTCAACCTTGGCTTGCTTTCTACTAGCTGTCTGGTCTTGAATAAGTCACTGACTCTGAACCACTACTTTTCAGCTATAAAAATGTTCTTAGAAATAAGCAGTTGATAGTTTTTGAAGATTACTGAAGGAATATTTATATCATTTATATACACCTAATGCATGATGAGTGTACATTAAATTACAATTATTATTATGACTGACAAGCTCAGTCTTGGAACCTAGCCTGCAGAACCTTCTGGGCTCTTCCATGGCTGGCTTTCTCCATGGGTTGGGTGCAGTAATCTGTTACTCCCAGTGTTTTGTTTTGTCAGTGACTTTGCCTTACGACTTCGTTCTGTCCTCCGCCACCGGTAATGTGTGGTCCTTTTGTTCTTAAAGATGTCTGGTCTTAGATAACCAGTTCCCATTCCTATGTAAGGTCCAATTTAATTGTGATGACATTCTGTGTTGTTGAAAATAGCAAAACAAAATGTGTCATCCATACACTCTGCTTTGGTAGCAGACCTTGGTCTGTCTAGCTCTTTAGAAATGTTATCTGTGCTACTGCAGCAAAGCTGGAGGACCAGGACAAGTCCT